CTCGAGTTGCTTCTGAACAAAGGACAGAGATCTCCTCAGCTCCATGGATGCGACGTTCATGGATCACCCGTCGCATGATCTCCTTCAGCAGTCCTCCATGGCGTTCTCCCACGCCATGTTGATGAGGCGCCCGTGCTCGAGTCTGCCGGATGGTGGTGCCATGGATGGTAAGCAAGTGGCTTACCTTGCCCTTGTTGTGCACAGGTCTGGTCTCCTTTGTCACACGCGGATGTTTCTCATGTTCAGTCTCCTTGCAAGTGGCGCACTGGAAGAACTTGGAAGCTTCTATGACATCTCTGTCAGCTGTAGAGGCAACGAGCATCCTCTGAAGTGCAGCATTGGAGCAATGACCAGTCATAGTGTGAAGACGACGGATGGCAAGTCTCTTTTCTTTGGCAAGTTGAAGCCATCCTTCTTTGCGCTTGCGCTCTCGCTCCATCACCATGTCGTCCACCTTGGTCATTGCAGCCTCTTCCATGATCTTCTCTTCACGTTCCATCTCCTCATGGTCAAGTCGACGTCGCCTGATCATGGGAGCAAGATCTTGCTCAGAGTGAACTCCATCGAGGCTGCCAAACTCTTCATGCTGTTCCATCACCTCTTCAACAGGAAAGGCATCGATGAGATTGCCATAGAGAAGCTCATCATAAGCGCCAGCCACAATAGCATAGCATAGCTCATACGGCCACTGCTGCGCCAAGTGCGTGCGTTGATTGCCCTCCAAAGGCTGATGCTCATGGCTGTGGTCACAAAGGCGGTTGAGTCGCCTCTTCATGTAGTGCGAGGAGAGCGTAAGGCCAGTGCTCTTGCGGTGTGGCAGTCCATTGACCGGATCTTTGAGTCCATATTGACATTGGTCAATCTTCACAACTTCAACCGGCTCACTGGAAGGCTCATGGAAGAAGTGGGAGTTCAGGAAGTCGTTCAAGCACTTGATTTCCCAGATAGCACTCGTCCAAGGGTGCTCCATCAAAATGTGTCTCCCTTTTCGCAAGCGGGCCTTGAAGACATCAACCAACCAGCGGAAGACGGGGTACCAAGCGATGCGCTCGTCCATGATGTGAGCCTCATACTCAGGTCCTTTGCTGGCATTGAGAGATTGCCAAGTTGACCAGGGTCCACATTTGGGTCCTGCAACCAGAACAAAAGGGTCCATCTCCTCGATGTAGTTCTGGGCCATGGTGCGGTTCGCACTCTTCAGAAGATCATGTGAGGCATCGAAGGTCACATCAATGGGCTTGCCAACAGGTAGCCCCCAGGAAGATGCCAGAGCGGTCACCATAGCTGCACCAGCAAAGAGCTCGAGGACAAAACACCGGCATCCAAAGGGCAAAAGACGATGAGGCCGTCGAAGGCCTCGTTCTTGCCTCAAAGTTCCCCATAGTGCCAGGTCTTCCTTCTTCAAGTCCTCAGTGGAGTCGGTCATCCTTTTGCGTTGACCCTTGGTCATGATCTTCTTGGTCTCTTGAAGGATGTAGCAGAGAGTGTCCTCCTCCTCAATCATGGTCTTGTCCACGTCAGTCTCAAAAGATTTTCTCTTTGATCCGGGTTTTGGAAATGATCCGGGTTTTGCCCACTTTTTTTGTGATTGGCTTTGGGCTTGTCATTGCTCAGCTTCTACATTCACAGCTTCTACTTGGCGTAAGTTGTTTGAGCAAAAACATTTAGGCCCATAGTGTAGTGTACCTGCCATCACGTTGGAGGCCCCCAAGCCCAAAAACTGTGAAAGTCAGGCGCTTGACTTGCGCAACATGCTGTTACGCTACGATTGCTGTAAAAGATCGAGATTTTGGTCTAATGATTTGCGATTGGCTCTGGTCTCACGCTACGATTGGCTTGGGCTTGTCGCATATTGCAACTGGAACCCTGTGTGGGCTGCATCCACACCTCAGAGGGGCGTCGCAGCTTCCTTTTTTGGCTGATAACGTGAATTGGGCTGATAACGTAGGGTCACACCCACTAGCTGTGAAAGTTACCTGCTTGACTTGCGGCAGGCCCGGCACTCTGCCACAATCACATCCAGACTTCATTGCAAAGTGAAGAATTTCTCTTTGCCAGGGTTTTTTGGCAGGCGCAGCACATTGAGTTCCCAAACGTGCCCTTTCTCCCGTGTTTGTTCAATCCGCTGGGATTGCAAAACGATTTTTTAAAAAATATAATACAGGCATCGCTGGTCTCGTTGCCCACGCGCGCAAACAGCCACGCAATGATTGAAACTCTGCGCTGCAGAACCCCACATACACACAGCTGCCCGTTTTTCTACCAGGTGCTCGGCGCGCGCGTTCACCACAACTAGTTAGCTAATTTGCTCGGGGTCTTCTTCTGCTGGAGCTTCTTCCTCCCCGCCCTCATGAGCATCATCCTCAGAACCGCCGCCCGGAATGACCTCAGGTTCCTTGGCAGCTTTCTCAGAGACCTGACCCTCATTTTGAAAGGCCTCACTCGCTCTGACAGGTGGCTCAGACTCAGCAGACTCGGGGCCTCAATGCCCATACTCAGCCACGGGCTCAAACAAACATCTACTTGTCTTTGTGGTTGCAACACACCTGATTTGTCAGTTTTGGCGCCTGTCTTCCACTTTTCTTTCTCCTCGCCAGTCATGGGGGCCTCTTTTGACTCCAACTTTGGAAGGGCCCCCAAAAGGGCAGCCTCAGCGAAGCAAACCATAATTCAATGTTATCGCGAGAAACGTTCCCTCCAAGGCAAAGAAGAAAGATTGAAAAGAAAGCTTCACATGCGCGTTCAGAAGAACAGAACAGCCAACATGGAGCTGTCCAAAATATCTACTCCATTGGTGTTGGCTCACAAGCGGGCGCTTGGTACAGTTTCTGCTACCTGCTACCTCTGCCTGTGGAAGTCGACCGCCAAAACAATTTAACTAGTTTGGCACAAAAAATCCACAGCTGTGGGTTTGGGATACCTGCCAAATTCAAATGTCAAGGCGAAGAGCAGCGACCTCTTTCGCCTCAGGGAGCGACTTGCCTCCACGCAGTTCATCTCGAGCGATAGCCTTAACAGGAGCTTGCAACAGCAGGTGAGGCAACCGCTCAACGAGTCTGAGTGTCAGCACACAAATCTCATGGGTCTTCGCCCTGCTGTGGAACCAAGATCCCACCTGAGGCGCTGACTGACGATTGGAAAGTTTGTTGAAACGAAACTCTGTGTGCTCTGTGTGTTTGAAAGGATCAAAACAAGCTACTTGTTTTAACACTGTTTCTTATTTGCTGTAAGAAGTCAGCCAGGCGGAGCGACTGGAAAGTTGACTTCTTTAATCCAAAACATGGGAAACCGCAAACTTGTTTACGCGAAAGGCAATGGAATGAGCCATGGACTGACATAATCTGGCGGCCATTTGACTTCAAAGCCCATGTGTTGAGGTTCTTGTAGTAGAAAGGCGGGCCCACGCTCGAAAAAGTCTCACCTGCTGGTGCAACACATGGGCAAAAACGGAGCACCGTGACAGGAAGCGGCCTGAAGCAGCCGGACGCTTCAAAGCCTTCTTCCGGTCGTCCTTGTCAGCATTTTCCTGAACAACAACCAGCGTCAAAAGGAAATCCACGAAAATCTGCGCCCTGGTCAAGATACTTGCTCGAATCTAGCAACAATCGAACTTCCAGTCATCCAGTGTCAAAAATGCAGCTTAGAGTTTAGAGCCTCTGGAGCTTCTGCTGTTGGTTCTGCAGATTCTGCAGCGTCCTTCTGCTGCTTCTTGGATTTCTTTGGCGCTGCCTTGGACTTATTCTTTGCTTTTGCTTTCCCATCGGGCTTGTGGCTTTTTCCCTTTGGGTTCGGCTTCGGTTTGACAGCTGACTCCTCTGCAGCAACCGGATGCGTTGGAACGATCTTCTTTTTTGGAAGAACCTTTGGCTTTGCCTTTGCCGCTGGGCCGGCAGGCGCGTCGCCATCAGATTCTGACAGCTCTGTGATTGGCGGCAAGACTGACATGACGACTCGGGATGGAAGGGCGCCGGGTGTGCCTACTTCTGTTACACTCTAAGCACCTGTACCTGCGCGGCGAACAACAGAAAACTAAATCAACGTCAATTCAGGCAGATGAGATGGGCTGGCGCATTCACTCACCCCGCACACACAGACCCCCACGAGTCTGAAACACTAAACAGTGATCGTTGCTTTCTAGAAAGACTTTTGTCTCTGTGCTACCACTGTCCTGGAACTGCCAGCTCGAATCTGAAGAAACTAAGCCCTGGCACCGCAAAGCCTAATGCAAGGTTAATAATCTTCAGCCCTGCAAACATCTACCCTGACCCTTGCAAATTAAAGCAAGCCTGCCGCGGAAGCAACGTCGCTCGTGAACAACCAACATTGAACAGCACTTCCAGGTCCAGTCACTAAAAGAACAATGATCTATGTAAAACAATACACGCTTCCTGGCAACAGAGCTTGGCGGGTTTGCGTGAGACCAGCAAATGATGTAAAACTGTGCGCATGTTTTGCGCCACTCTGTGTTCAAGTCAATTTGATCCAGGACCCCTTGTCCAGAATCACGGTCGCAGTCAGATAGAGCTTTGGCTTCAGAGGCGTGACTTTGCTTCCTTCCAAGCTGACCTGTCCCGAGAAAAAATGCACCTACTATCTAGGATCGAAAACCACCGCTTTGCACAGCATATTTCAAGCCTTGACACACTTCCAACAGAAAACAGGGCAATAGAAGTGCTGGATCCGTAAAGAAACATAATGAAACAACAGTTTGGCGACACATGAATCACAGATGTTCAAACAACAGCCGGCATGATAGTAAAGGCCTCCCACAGCACGTCCACCAGCTTGCTTTGCGGGATGCTGTCCATCCTTCCAAGCCACAGTGCTCCTGCAGTAGCGGTCTTAGCGTCGCCCTGCATGTTGTTTGGCCGGAAGACATTTGTCCGATTGCCCCTCATGGGCTCGATGTCATATCGAAATGGCACGTGCATCTCCTCACTCTCTGCAGTCGGGTCCTTTGCGCGAAGCACAACAACAATTCTGCCAACACAAAGGGCAAACTAAAACTGATTGGGCCCAATTTGGTGAAGCATTGACTCCATACAAGGGTCAACCGGGCGAAGTTTGGGGCGTACTTCATGGTTGTGAACGGAAATGTCACCAAGCCCTTGCGTTGTTGCAAGCTTGTGGAAATACTTGCACCACGGTGTGATGCGCTTGTCAACCACAATCAGATCTAAGTCCGACTGAAAGCGCCACGGCAGACCGCCGCTGTCACGCTTGGCCGTGCAAATCTTTGTCTCGAAGTTTCCTGTATTGAAGCCCAGCCTGATCCAACGAGCAGGCCGAAGAAAATTCCAAACCAACCAAATTCAAACCAAGCCCTCTCTAGCAGGCTAGACACAGTTCCAATCCAGAGATTGTGAGCTGCTCGCTGCTTTCGTTCCCAATCCACACTGCAAAGGACTTGTCAACGACTACGGTAGGCCGTCCATGCCGCCCAGCCAGCGTTACCAGCCTGACATCAGCGCAACGCGCAACCACCCGGTCATGCAACCATACTCAGTGCGTGCACAATTGAATACATAAAAACGCATTCATTCTACACTCTGTTCGAGAAATATCTTTAAGAATGGGCAATCCAGAACTAGACCCTGAAATCCCCTGAACCACTGTCCTCTCAGCAGCCTCTGGAGGAGACTGGCACAACAAATCCACCACTCGCTCCACTGACAGGGGCTCCTTCCCATCATCGATAGAAAAGTCACAATCGCCACTCACTCGTGGAGAAGCAGTCGTGGCCACGCCGCTCGCCTTACGCTGCTGCGGGAATTCTTTCAGGAACTCTTCCTTCATCTTCACCAAAGCCTTGTGGTGAGGGTCGTTGCTGGGAATTCTCTCAAGGATGTGGTCAGGGAATCTGGGCTGGCCAGCAGCATCACAACTCAGCAACGACAACCCTGTGATTTGGCCACTGCTGGTCTCCACACGCGGCCGGGTCTTTGAAGGGCTGGTGGAAAGGTCATCCCAATACTTGAAGAAGTTCGCCTCCAACATGGGGCGCATGTGCACATGACTTTGTTCCCGCGAGGCCCCGAAGTACACAACACATGGCCGTTCGCCGTTGATGCGCCGCTGAGCGCAAGCCTGTCCGAACTCCATGTACCTGCGTGGACCCACCATTGGCCCTCAAAACAACCATGAAAAAAAAAGAGACAGAGCGCAACAGAAAGCCATGGCGTATGCAGCCTCACTCAAACAGCAGGCCTAGCTATTGTTTATCGCGCCGCAACATAGACATAGACTTAATCAAGCTAGACTCCGCGCAGAACGTCAAAGAGTTGGAACAATGAGGGCTTGACATGAGAAGGCACCTGCTTCCGTTACGCCGTTATGCCGGAGACCGCACCCTCTCTTTGGGTCACCACATTTGTTTTGCTAAATATATATATGTTTACACTATTTGCTAATGATACGTTTTCTAGCCAAACGGGCAGTCAAGATTGGCAGTCAAGACGCCGGTTCGGCCCAATGTCAAGCCACACGCAAAGGTCCTCATCATTCAGCGTCATTCCTTCCAGAAGATCTTTGACAATGCTAGCGTGGAAGTTCACTCCCTTCCTTGGAAACAAAGGTCATCAAAAAGTCGTAAGTCGCAAGTCGTAAACCAAGGCCTTCACATAGACCCCCAACAACCCTGACCAAACAAAAATGTTTGCAGCAATTCAACATGTGAATCTGCTCTGCTCGCGCTGCCGCACCGGGTTTCTGGTCACTGTCGTATCCGATCATGTCACTCACTGCACACACAGCAAATGGGCCAAGAATGCCAGTCTGAAGCGGCTGAGACTGTTCAAGCCACTTGTTCCCTGCCTTCCCAACAGCACACACCAGGCAAGGCTGCGAAGGCGTCCTCTTGTCAGTGCTTGCTCTTGTTGAATCCTTTTGAAACAACAACGTCAAGCCCGTAGTGAAGTCAACGTCAAACTTGAGAAGGGTGTCTTCGATCAGCCGCTTTCGCTTCAGTAAGGCCGGCAACGTTGTTTGCGTGTGGAACAACGGCAACTGGATAAACCCAATGCATGTGGAGCCAGTGCTACAAACATTGGCCAGCATTTGAATCATGTCCGTCACATTCTCGTTCTGACTCCACACGGTGGCGTCAATGGCTGCAACAATGTACCTGGGCCAAACATTCGGAGAGGGTTTCACACCCCTAGTGGGAAAAACCGGATCCACACTTAGCATGGTTACTTTACATATTTACCGCCAAGGCACACCTGGCCACTTGCGTTCTTCTCAGCGATGAACTTGTTGAACTCTGGCAGCAAAGTAGTGACTTTCTCTGACTCCGGGAGGAGTGCCAAACGACAATTGTTCAGCATCAACTCTTTCGTAAACTCCATCCCTTTCCTCACTGATCAATACCCCGCCACCAAAATTTATAGCTAATAATCCCAGTAAAGGCGGCGCCGCAAAACAAGAAACAAACAAGAATGCGCTGAAGGCTGAGGGTCTGCTGCCGCGCCTTCAAGTATTTCATGTCCAGAAGTGTCTCCATGTCTGCTGCAGCTTGAGTCGGTCGCTGTGCGCGGATGATGTTCAAATCACTCTGTATTTGTATTTCAAGCTGGTCAAACGTGGCCTTGTGGACCTTCTCAGCAAGCTCCCGCACACGATCCTCTCTCTCCATCGCCACTCTCGTCTCATAGCTCTTCACTTTATCCCTGCAGGGAGCAGTTCCATGACCAACACTCAAAGAATATTTTGATTGAACCGCTCAGCCCAAATAACCCAATCTGAAACAAAGAAAACATCAAACACAAGTCCATGGCCTGAAAGCCCCAACAGCCATGAGGTCTGCCGGCGGAACTGAACTTTCAGCAATATGGGTCAGCTCGGCGTCCATGATTCCGCACATGAACACCTTCATGAGGCTATCGGCAAAGCCTGCAAACTCAGAAGATGGCGCCTTCTGCTGCAGAACCTCCAACATGTGGAGAAAGATGCCGCAGCAAACATGAATAGCATTCCCATCCTTCATGCTCCAAGCCTTTCGCATCTTGTCTGATTGGGCGTCCCAGTCAGCGCAGAGTCTGGCCACAAAAAGCTTCACCTCAAACATTGAACAAGAAATGACGTTAAACCTCAAACAGTAAACGCGAAACGATGTTAAACGCAACTTTGCCTCATCACAAGTCAGTATACGTATAACCATCCATGAACAATTGGGTTAAAAACAGGCGTTGGGCTCAATGCCATTGCGTCCACGTGACCAGCTTCAAGTCATCAGAGTTCGTCAAGAAGCTCATCCACGCCTCCGTGGATCCCTGAGCACTGGTAAAAGCTTGGTTGAAGGCTCCACGGGCAATGATATCACGCGTTAAGAAGTAACGCATTCCCCTTCTGGACACAGCCTCTGTGAGAAGCGACAATATGGCTGGGTGAACTTTCACCTGCAGCGCAGAAACTGCTTGGCTCTCTGCACGTCCAACCGAAAATGCTCGTGAAATTGCCGCCACATTCTCCCACTCCTAAAAAGCGATGCAAGCAAGTCTTCAAAACCCGCTTGTTTCCAGATTACATCAACCCTCAAAACCTGACCGCTGTGTTTACAAAGTGAAAACTTCCTGACAGACCAAAAAGTTTCAGAGAACTGTTGATCTGCATTGCCTTGGCCACATCGATTCAGAATGGTAGCCTGTCTCATCAAATGAAAGCAATTTGGATTCCTCCTTGTTGCCGTGCTGGACAAGGAAATTCCCCGATTCGTGTAGATTTGGTCCTTCACCGAACTGTATTTGCCCACGATGCCGCAGATAGTTGCAGCTGAAGCCTGGCTGAAGGAGCGCTCAGCGTACCCAAGAAAAAATGTCTAGAGGGTCAAGTTCTCTGTGGGCGCACCCTGCTCTAGTTCTTCGTAAACCATGATTACTGTGCATCCCCTGATTGCTACAGAGACTGCGTCGGTGCCTTGAAGTTCTGAGGAACTTCGTCCAGGTCCACTTGAAGCTCGCGGATCGCAATGCAAACGCTCAGGAAAGCGGAGCATCTGCGCCAACCCTTCACGTAGCCAACGCTGAAAGGCGCTAACAAGTCTCCTGAGATCCCCGAAACTGACCCCCATCGTCACAGTGCAGCTTTAACTGCTTCGAATCTTGTTATACAAGCTTCCGACACCAGTCAGCTTTGGCAACTCAACGTACACGCTATCAAGAACAGTAGCTTCTGGCAGCATCACTGAAATCCGTTCCACTCCCGGAAGGGAGTCTGCGTCTGTCCGAAACCTCATTCGGCTGGCAAATTAATAGAAAGCGAATCAGAAGTCTGTACTGCTTGCCCGCCCCAGCCCCAACCCTACACACCAACAACCCGCCAGCTCTAACGGTCAAGCTACCCTTCATTGAATATCAATTCCATCAGAACAGCCATATCTTCCGGCTCAGCATAGCTACTGAAACTGAAATCCCTCCGGTAGCTCAGCATCCATGGACGCAACTTGCATGGGCCTGGCTGGAAATCTGTTGCGTAGCCGCACCTCGCATCATTTTGCAACTGACAACACAAGTCCATTGCCATGAACGACCGTCAGAATAACTAATTAGAATGCCATAATAAAAAGACTCCATCGTTGCCGACAGAAACAAGTAGAAACAATCCGATCGGTCAAAGGTTTCACAGGGCCTGTTGTCAGGTGGGAAGGTTGTTTCCAACCACGAAGCCAGCTCAAGTAGGGCCGCCTGAACCCCAAAGGTTTCTCAACGCCAAGGATTGAAATTAAATCCAAGGAATACACACAGCCCGCTCACCTCACTCTTGTAGGTGTGCAAAATGAACTTCTCCAGCCCACCCTCTGGCACCACGTTTCGATGAAACCTGGTTACCCAAAACAATGAACACAAAGCGTTTTGGAAGTGTGGCCTGAGAAGCCCATTTCAAAAAGCATTCTTCTTTGCACCAACTGCACATTGCAAGCGCAAATCTACAAAAAGCCCAGCAACCACTCCAAGATCTTGTCGCATATGGGGTTCTTTTTGCCTGTGAACTTCAGCGCCTTCCCTTTGGGATCCACGCCAGAACCACCACCGGACTTGCGTTTACCCATTCACGAGATTCGCACAAAGAAAGCGTCTGACTTGACCAACAAAAGCTAGGAAGGAAAGGTTACTTGCGAACAAAGTTCAACACGAAAGTCCTTATCAGTGAAAAGCCAGAAAGCACAGCTCCACAAACAGTGATCTGTGCGCATATTTTTTTTTGCGCAGCAAAAGGTGGCCATCAAGCTCGTGATTTCAACCACCAAGAAATCAAAGCAACGATGGCCTGGCGTTTGAAGACATAACACATTCTTGGTAACAAACCTGGAACGTATGTCCCAAGCCTGACGGACTGTTTGTCAAACTTGTCAACGCCAACCTCAAGCACAATCGCGGCCCCAAAGTCAAAACAACAAGTCGTTTGGTACCGAGTGACACGGGTAGGAAAAACATGTTTGTAGTAGATCTCCTCAACTAATCATGTAGGCCCCACGCCCGACGACTGGCAATCAGCAACCATCTCTGACCTTGTCAGAGCTGACCTCAAGCACTATCCCACACCCCAACTAAGGGCAAAGTTATATAAAGGCTTCAGAAGGCGCAGAAATATGAACCTACGACCTACGCTTGTAGCAAAAACTCGGAGGTAGGTTCCAAACTCGACGGCTGTCTGTCAGCAACCAGTTCCGGCCTCGTCCAAGCCGACCTCAAGCACGTTCGCTTGGGGGCAAAAACAAGTGGCGCTGTTTGCGCTCCAAGCACAACAGGTTGCGTCTAATAATCTTGACCCTGAGTTTGACCCACTTGTTGGCAGGGTGCCTATTTGAGATGCAACACTGATGATTCTGACAATGAACTGAAGCCTGAACCAAGTCGTGGTGAATTGTGACTTCGGTTGTGGCTTTGGGAGCCATAGATCTGGCCAGTCAACAATAATTTGAAGGGGAAGGAAGTCCAATGCTACTGACCGTGATTTCAAAACAACATCCCCACCTTTCCCCTGAAAAGTGAGTGGTGTGTGTTTTCTCTCCAGGGCCGAAGTGACGGATTCCATCGGCGTCCGTCGCTGAAGTGACGGATTCCATCGACATCTGTTGCGGGAGTGACGGGTTCCATCGACATCTGTTGCAGAAGTGACGGGTCCCGTCGGCAATCATTGCTCAAGTGACGGATGTCATTGGCATTCGTCACTTCAACCCTCTCTGTCTCAAAGTATCTCATCTCCATTTCCACAAGTTTATATAAGGAACTAAACTCTCGCGAAATTTTTCCCACAACGTTTAGGGTTTAGGGTTGGCGGTTGGTCGGTTTTAGGGTTCTCCAAGTGACATATGTCAATAGCATCCGTCACCAGCCCTACAAATTCTTTCTGGCCTCCAAACCCTTTAGGTTTTCCGCCACTTCCAGGACAATGTCACAAACACCTACGTGGTGACCAATGCGGGGTGGGATTGGTCACTCCGCTCCTCAACACAGCTAGTTCAGTATCCACGCTCAAAACAGAAACCTTCAAAGGTTGCACAAAGAACAGGGTGTAGTGACGGGAGTGGGGTGGCATCGGTCACCACACAGCTGGCCATTGAAATCAGAGTGGGGTGACCAATCCAGCCAAGTTGAGCACACTTGACCCCGACCTAATTTAGCATCTCCGACCATGGGCCTTTGGCTTAGCCTTTGGCTTGACCTTAGGCTTGGGAGCAGGATTTGCCTTGCTGATCGCTCGCTCAGATAAACACAAAGCTTCAGCCCAAGGAACGCCGGCATTCCAAGCGTTTGCTGCTGCCTCTAGAATTATGGCCCTCTTTGCGCGCTCAAAATAAATAGCAGAATGCTGGCGGTCTTTCTTTCCTCGAGCCAGCCTAGGAAAATGTTTTCTGCGACTGTTGGGTTATCACATAAACAAATCATTATATATATAAACTGTATATATAAGCATATAACATTTATAGAAACTAGTCACGGCCAGCAACTTCAACTCATTCGGCTGCGGGTCAAATCGTCGGACACGATCGAGCATCATCCGGTCAGCCTCCGTGCAGACTCTGCCACCACCAAAGTCACACCTACAGCCATCAATGAGAATTGGGCTGGCACAGATTGAAGTCCGGAAACTTGAGACAAGCTTTTACACGCCTTTAAGGAATGACTTGTGTGTTGAATTTTGCTAAGTTGAAATCATGTCCTGCCAAGGCGCGCAGAGATATCAAGCGGTGGGCTCAGTTCAAGGTCCCCGTTCACCCAACGCTCAAAATGGTCTGCTGCCTCATTCAGGTTGTAGCTCCGCAATATTGGTATGTGCTTCTTGATGTGGTCCACATAGTCAGCCGGCATTGGCCTTTTTGCAGCTGTTCCTGCATGCAGGGGTCCAAAACAACAACAAAAATCTCAACTGGTCAAACAAAACGAGGACAACACACCGACGCAACAAAATGCCAGAGATATTTAGTCTGATATGTTGGTTGGAACGCTCCTTTGGGCAAACCAGATGGCAACCTTTGCAGCGCGCATTGTCTGGGATACCACAATTGGCACGAAGAGTACGCGGCGTCTGCCATGTACCGCCGGGTCCTCACCCCAAACCAGGACCAACATATAATGTAACATATGTGAAATAAACCGCAGAGCCCCGCAAAAAGAACAATTACACTCTTGGTCTGTACTCGAAAAGGGTTTGCAGAAGGTCTGCTCAATGTATGGCTGCAAGCGGCCGGAGCACAATGTCCCGAGGGTGCTCCTCCCCCAGCTGCAGCTTCCAGTAATCATCTCGGATCTCCGACGCCTCCAAACCTTGGTAAACAATAATCATAAGCCAGGGTGGGTGGAGCGGGAGTTGAAACACTTTGATGACTTGGCCCCACGATTGGCTTGGACGCCGGATAAGCATGTAGTCACTAGATGCCACTTAGCAGCCCAAACTTTCGCGAGTGTTGAAAAAAAAGGCATGCGGTGCGCCTGGGCCGCCAATCCCTTGAAGCGAGACCGGCACAGCTTCGGAAAGATAGCCACGCCTGAAACCACAGTCAAGGCGCAACAAGCTGCGATGTATAGATTTCAATCCTACAGTTAACAATAAGACTCTGCCCACAACTTGAGCAAAGAGTGAGCTTCTCTGGGGGAAAGCAAAGGAACACAAAATCAGAAGCCACAAATAGTCTCAGCAAATGAGTCACCAGTCCCGGTGTTGGTCAACTTTGACCACAACTCGGTTCCTTTCGTAAGGACGTTGCGCCCCATCTGCAAATCTCTGAATGACCCGAATGAACTGGTCGGGAGTCTCACAATGACGGGAGTGCCGGACGATGAAGAGCGCTAAGGATCCGAAAAGCTGATCTATGTCTTCATGACTGTGTCCGGATCTCAAATGCTGTAGAGATGCTGAGGCAAGCACTCCTGCACTTACAAGTGCGCTCAAGAATCTCAAAGCTGTAGCATTTTTGAGTTCTCTGGTGGTGTTGTCGGCCTGCACGTGGAGATTCAACATTGACAGGTTGACACCTGACTTCCTCAAAAGAGTCAGTAGGTGAGCAAGGAGCTCAACCATGACCGAGGCGTCTTTAGGGTGGTCATGGTTTGAGGCAGCCAACACAGTAGCAAACCCATGAGCAAGCATGCCGGTCACGTGTAAACCCTTGCGGCCATGTGCCCTGAAAGCTCCCTGATCAACAATTTATGATGAAGGCACGACGCGCACTGGGAGTGAAGTGAAGCAGGCCGGAAGCGTAAGTGCGGAAACTCTACAAGCCAAGTTCTCCAGAACAAGCTGAAGGCTACACCTTTGGTCTGGTCCATTCCACGCATCATCTCCCAATAATCGCGCATAACGCCAGGGGGCAAAAATCGAACTTCCTGAGTACTTGACGGGCAATCTGGATGTCTCTCCAAATGCAGCTCAAGCCCAAACTTTCGCTTCCGAGCTTTCTTTCTGGACCCAGGCCCAGCTGTCAATGCCAATTTTGCTGCCAAAGCCTTTCTCCCATCCTCAGAAAGAGACTCTGCGTACTCGTCCTGCAACACCTCTGCGCCAACTGTCAGGGATGTTATGACACCGTCGTCTCTGATGTCCGGCAATGTTTCAGCCACTGATTCATAAATGGATTGGAGGAACGAGGTCACTCGAGCCGTGGCTGTCTCTCCAGCAACCTTTGCTCGAGGTTGCTTGAGGAAGCGCAGGTCCATAGGTGGGGTCACCCGCCCGTTCTGCACAGCATCCCACAAGCGGTTACAACGGCCAGAGCCTTGGCTCGTGTGGAACTACTTGCAAGAGGCTGTGCAATGTGGTTTTGTTTTCATGGACTTGATGGCATTCGTTGTTGTTTTCCTGGCAATTCCCCGCAATGGTTTAAAAATTATGTTCTTGTAAGTTGCAAAATTATCCACACAGCATCGAGCGAAACACCCCTTGCCCCCCCTAAACGAAGGCCGAATGAAAACTTTGATTGGCTTTGTTCACTCTTTATTCTTTATCCGTCAACGAACTTAGACTTAAATGTTGTTAATGCCCCTGATGCAAAATGCTGGCTCCAAATCGGGGGCAAAGCGACTTCTAAAATTCTTTGCTTGGCCAACAACACCCCACGATTTCCACGAAGCAAGAACCCAAGGAGAAGTTGTCAAGACATAAAACGAAAGGTGTCCTAAGGATCCTTGTGACACCTTTCGGTTTGAAGTCCTTTCAACTTCTCCTGGATTGCTACGAGAGATTGGCCCAACGCAATCACCGTTTGCCAAAAAAACAGTGGCTGACATTCTGGCCATGCACCGACGCTGTGCAAACGTTTCCAAGCCTGCAAGCAGACCTTCACGCCCATGAAGCTCCAGGAGGCACAAGGTGAGCCACAGTTGTCAGCATCTCTGGCATGGTCTCTCATCCGATCAAACACCTAGGGGGCGCTGGCCCACAACACAAGCAACAAAGACCTTTTCACGGTTTTCAGCGTGGCTTGGATAACCGACCACATGAATTACTCAGCGTCAATGAGAAATGGACCCACCCTTAGCCCCGTTTCCACTGCGGCTACCACAAGAAATTATAACAAATACAAAAGGTGTTGACAGGCTCAAGCAAGGGACCAGTCGGTCAGCATCTAGCTTGTGAAGTCCGGACAGTTCCTTTCTAAACGCCAAGAGCTTTTCAAACAGATGTTTCCCCTTGAACTTTTGCAAGCAGCCTTTCCTGCAAGCCCCCCCACAACGTTGCCGCAGCAGTTTTTGGCATGTCTGCACATCCTGAAGACGCTCTTTGTGCGTCGGCCCAGGCTTGCGACGGCTCTTTCTTGGCTTAGGGTCTAGTGGTTCCTCAGGACAATCATCGAAGCTCTCCTCCGACGCTGATAGGGTGAGCACAGGGGCTAGCGGCAGTGCGCTGGTCGGTCGGGCCATCGTGCCCGAGCCATCGCAGAAACCCTTGAAGATCAAAGAAACGTGGGTCGAAAAGATTACTGTACACCATTGGTTTGTGATCTAGCAGTCTAGCGGCTCTAGCGCTCTTAGAACTACCGGGGAAGAAAGTCTACTTTTGCAAAGCGGGTGAAGCGAGCATCATTGGGCGCACGGTTTTGGGTCACAGAAAACTCAAAAAATGCATGTCTGAGTCTGAGTCTGTATGTCTCATTGAGGGTTGGCTTTGATTTGTTCCATGGTTGGAGTTTGACTTGGACCCAGCTGCTGACGCAAGCATTCTTTCAAACTTGCCTGAAAACATAGAGCAAAGCAAAATGTTCGCGCAAAGCTTGGTCAGAACTTGACACCCCACTCTCCACAACCTTTGTTTTTCATCCCGAGACTTGCGTGAAAGTTCCGACACTAAGTTTAACAAACAACTCCGCGACTCCGTGTCAATTTGGAAAACAACTTAGTGTCAGGAGCGGAACCGGTCAAGCGCCGCTGTGGTCTCCTGCAAACGTTCCCTCTGCTTCTGACAGGCCGCAGTCAATGCAACCATCAAAACATCCAAGGCTCTGCGGTCATCTGGGTGACACGCGTTCTCTACGCCGGACAATTGTAGGCGTGCCGCATTCAACCGCTCGTCGATTCTGGTGTAGCGCTGCAGGTCTGAAGTCAACCGATAGAGAAGCTCCGCATCTTCACCTTCAGGTGGTCTTTCTTCATCCGGCTGCAAGGCTGGCAGAGTAGGAAGCATAGCTAGGAGACCCAGTCTGCGCAGTTATATGGTAACAGTCAGTGAGTGTTCCATCTTCTGGAAAATATGCGTCCTTGTGAGATGTCCCTGAAGCCTGAAATTACAAACCGATGAGTTTGCTGCTTGAGCCCGACTTGGGTCGTGGAAACACTCACGCACATGCGTTTAAAAATATCCCAGCGATGGGTTGGAATGGTTCTGTGGCGCTAGTCAGCTAGTCATCCCTGAGAATCCGACTGACGAAGAGTCAGAGGTGGTAGAAGTCCCCTGCGCTGGAAACGTCAAGCCTGCTGCTCCTGGAGAGCAAGCAAGAACAGGGTGGAAGGGACAGAATGTAGCTGTATTGCAATCGCTGGCATTAAAAAGGCCCCAATCGTTTTGAATTGGAAAGAACAGGGTCAATTTCACAGCATTGACATTGAAATCATGACCCCCCTTGCCTGAAGGTGTTGGCAACGCAAGGTGGTGTAGGACCATGAACTTCTCTGGGCAGGTCTTCAAAGCTAGAGCTTGGTTTCGCTTGCCACGATAATCAAAGAAATGGTGCATGGACATCTCGGTTTCATCAGCTTTGGTTTTGGTCTCATCAGCAAGCCACAAGAAGGTTGTGCAATGTATGTCCATGTTTGTTCCATACACAACCGAAACTAACTCATCAGCATGCCCCGGAATGAGGGGCCCGCCATCTGGAGCCGACCATATGGCCCTCGCCGTGGGCTCGTCAACCAACATCATCTGGTTCTGGAAGAGGATCCTGACAATACTTCCAATCGCCCAAGTCCCAGTTTTGGCCACATAAAGGAAACTGTCACGCAATCAAAGCACAGAAATTAAAGTTCTAGCCAAAGGTCGCGTATTTCCTTTCCAAAGTTGGCTCTGACATCATGAAAACCCCTTCATCATCAAGCCCACCAATTCGAGCTCGGAACAACGATGTAAAACTGACGACCAGGGAATCGTTGAGGGCAAAGAATGGAAGAAGCGCCGCTACCTGCTTTTTCTGTAGAGGTCTCTCCTGTGCTTGGCCATCCGGCCAGGACGTGATCAAGGTAGGATGATTTGGCATTTCTCCCGCCATCAGGTGGCAGCAAGAACCCTTAGGACTCGCAACCTCAACACAAAAGGGGCTAGCGTCGGTGCAGCTGTTTCATTTGTCACGAACTGCTAACACTATGACAGCATGAAACAAGCTAGGCAATTCTTACATTGTTGGCATGCGCAGCTCTTGCGTTCGGCTAAACCTTGCCATAAGTCAAGGCGTCCAAATTGTTTTCTCCTCGTTTCGCAATCAACGGTGGCTCGACCTTGAATTGGAGCGCTGAGGACCGCTCTTCTCCGATAATTAGACTTGCACAGGCACGCATGGAGTGGGCGTCGTATGTTTGGCTATTTGACATAGCACCAAGCAACAAATGAGGTCAACCTAGAAAACACTGCTGCGCAGCTAGCCTAAAGCCATCATCAGCCCAAAGAAATCATGCGTGACAAAAGCGCCGCTCCTAAGCTGGCTTGGGGTGGTACGACTATGTTGCCGCAAGCCTTGATCCGCTGCTTGTCGTGTTCGCTGAGGTTTGGGACAAGCCATTTCTCCAATGGAACGGGGTTGCGGGCATTCCACGAATCCTGAGGCCAAGAATCCAAAGATGGCGGATCCTGCAAGAACAGGCGGCTACAACAACATGACATCAAGCAACTACTGAAACCAAATCTCCTGTAGCTGAGGTGGACAGCGAGGGTGATAGGCAATGAGGAAGCATCGAGGCCTCTGCGCCTCAGGCGGCAGATTTGATGGGCGCAGAAAAAACTAGAAGCTGTAGAACTGTTAAGTTAAGCCTCTGGCCGGCAATCCTGCATGCGACAGGCTGATCGTACACCATTGCAAGCGAAGGCCTCGAGCACCGCACTCCTGACAAGAAGAAGCCCGTGGTAAGCCCTGCTTTCAGAACAAAATGTAACACATGGCCTTCACGAGATAGTTGAACATTTTCCGGCATTCCACTTGCTGGCTAATGAGTGCTTTCACGTTCTCTAGGATGAGAAGTTGCCTCCCAATCAGTTTAGACTGCGGGCAAGTTTTGCAAAGCGAATCATACCGCAGCTCAGCTCCTGACACTATCGGCATCTGGTCCCAAACTTTCCAAATATGCTTGACCAATGAACTGCGAGCGTCATTCAGGCCAGCTTGGTTGCCAGCGCCGGAAATGCCCTGGCAATGGGATGTCCCCAAAATGTCCGGTTTGTTTATAGAAGTGTTGCGAGAACAAAAACTAGAGCTGAGCGTCCGCTGAGCGCCCAACCTGACAAGGCCAACCAGCCATCAGGGCCGTCGCCTCCGCAGCGGGCCCTGCAGGCAAAAATGTGGTAACGTCGTCATGGATTGGGGCGGGAGCTAAACAGCCCTCAGCCATACGTGCTCGAAGAACTTGTTGGCAAAAAGGATCGCATTCAACCTCAAACCAACTTGACTGCAACTGCCCATTCCCATCGCGGAACTGTCTGTGAAAGTGAGGCCAGGACATATTGAACCACCTCTACGTACCTGACACTGACATTGGCAACAGGGAACCACCCGAACACCCTATCACCGACCGTCACGTGCGCATGGCATGTGTGTGCGCGCACGTGTGAACTTGAACACAAAATACGCGCATTTTTAACTGCGCTCCCTATTTCTTCAATTGCTTCGACGGTCGATCGCCATCCGCTGTACCATGAGGTGAAACGTGAGGTTGCGCTCCAATGTCCTGGGGGAGCAACTGGCAGACTCGCAAAGTTTTCCTAACTAGGGGAAACAGTCCTCTTTGCCAGGCGACTCTGGCTTGGTTTGCGCACATTCTGGAGGATCGAGAAATGGCACCCACTCCGCCCTGTTCCACTGCCACCTCGCATTAATATCGAACCCAAATGCACATAACAAATAAGTCACGTAGCGTGTTACACAAAATTAAAATAGAAGTGAGAAGAGGTTCCACTAAATACCTGCGCTGTTCAACCGTGCACTGAATGCAGGCTGGGTACCACTGGTTCCTCCATTTGCAAATCACCATTGAGCCACGGGGTACCCTTGGCAATTACACTCATTAATCAATGTCAAGTGTTCACAGACTCACACAAGATTCAGGAATCAAGGAATCTGCTCAATGTTGCCTAGAAACCTGATTTGGTTTATGCCAACAGTTCGCACTGTCTCCATGGCATAAAGTGCGGCCATCACAAACTACCCGAACCCATCCACTTGAATCAAAATTCACCGCCGCAAGTGGCAAACTAACTTGAAATTTGCCATTGCAAGAACAACTGAAACTCTCTGCTTGCGCACTTCTGCCATCCCAGCTCCAAGCCCCCGATGCCAGAAAAAAGGCTGACGCCTTTGATCTTGGGCGCCTGCCAAATTCGATAGAAACAAGGCAAAGCCTGCAACAGTTGCCAAGCACACTGCCTCCACGACATCACGGCCACGGCCGTTGCGAAATTCAGCGCTGTCCACAGCTCCCACGTCTGGTGAGGTCCACCCTCGAGGCAACCCCGACAAATGTTCAGCAGCTTCGACACTCACAAATCTACCAGGTTGAATCTTCTTCTCACGCGTTAGCTTCTGATAGTCCACGGAGTGCCGGATCATGTTCGCAAGATCCTGCCAACCAGTCAGTCTTCGACTGCGCGTGAAAAGTTCATAGAAATAATCCAAGTCCCGGACTGAAATGCCCCTTTCGCTCACATCACCTTTTGTGGCTGTGACTGAAGCTGAAAAGCAACCTCAGTGACAGGATGAAAGGAAACAATGGTGATTGTAGATGATGAACCCTTGAAATAAGGCCGGCGCGAATGCTTCCCCAAGATTTAAAAGTCTTCGTGCCACTGAACCTTTGGGCCCCATTGTCCTTCTTTCCAGGACGGGCTGCGCAGGCCTGACACGCTAAGGGCTACCCAAACACATGAAGCGCATGTTTAAAGACTTGACTGAGGAATCTGCCACTCGCAAGCCGAGAGGTTTGACACACTGAAGTGGAGCTGTGACTGGATGAAGTTTCTTCTCGAAGATCCATCCATGCGCAGGCAACTGCGAGCAACAATCAAACCAAAAACTATCCACATTTACAGCACATAGCGACTCAGTGACAGGAGAGGCCTTAGTGCAGGACTTTGGTTTGTATTGAACAGCCATTCGCCGCGGCACCTGGGAAAATCGAACGTTGCAAGCAATCAGGGGTCTACAAAGCTCAGAGGTTGGCGCCGTGAGTCCCTCAAAGTGCTGGTTGGCGGCAACAACCCCCTGCACAGTGACAACAATACAAATCCAACTCAATTTGCTCAAGGGCCTCTGCTTCAAATTTGACCCCACCAAGTCCAAAAGAAACACATTCCTCCTAAAACATTGCTGCCTTCTTCTTCCTTGCCATCTTTGCTGGTCGCTTGGCAATCGATTTCAGGACTTTCTTGGTCTTGGAACTCGCGGCCTCACACTCAATCAAATAAACTCGCGGAACCGACAGGTCAACTTCAATACACACCGAGAAGAGAAGCGCCACAAGTAGCCATAACATTCTAAGCCTGGCCTTGCCGTTTTCAGAAGCCGGCTGCGTCATGAGACCCTCTGTTTCTGAATCCGACCTTGCGGGTAATGAATCGCAGTCGCACAGACACCTCCCAAATTAACGCCGTCAGTTTAAGCCCGCCGCAGTTCATCAACTGGCGGCAGGCTAGCCATGTGCCGCCAAGAACTAACACAAACGGCCGCGTCTAAAAAAGCAGCAGGTCCAGGTCCAGGAGTCCACCAAGCAACGAGCGCTCGACGGTCATCACACGTAACGCAAAAAAGACATTGCAAACTAAGCAGTTACAGTTAGCTGTTGCCAGCAAAAAATGTGAGCGCAACACACACAGAAATTATTACAATCATTTGGCCCCAATGTTTTCCAAAAAATCATTCTATAGGTCGCACGGTTCCTTCCCCACTACGCAAACAACATATGAACATGATTAAACATTTTTCCTTTTCC